TTTGGATTTGTAGCGTGCATACTATTTGGACATAGTATATATTTTTAAAAAGCAGCTAAGTTAATATTGAGTAAAAATCTTTGTTTTTATAAATGTGACTGACTAGAGGCTTTTGGGGTGTATGTGCCTGCTCTTTCAGATTTGGTATCTGCTATTTTAGCTTCATAATATTCATGACATGAATTGGGAAGTTTTCCCTTATTTGCATCATTCTGGAATAGTACATATAGCATAACAATTATTATTTTTTTTGTTTGAAACTTTGATCAAGTTCACTCATAAAACTATTTGCTCTTGTATCTTTAAGGGCAGGATTAACAATTTAAAATTTTTCTTCTGGTAATTGGTCTACTCAGGTTTTCTATTTCTTGAGCCAATTTTGGTAATATTCATACATTTCCACAATCATATGATGGATCTGAGATTTTAAAATTTACTCTCCAGAGTTGTTCATAATATCCTTTCATAATGCTGTATAATTTCCTCTTTCACTATTATATCTCTTTTCTAGTTAGTGATTTTGAGTATTTGTGTTTTATTTTGATAAGAGTTGTCATTAATTGGTTCTGTTGGATACAACAACAAAAAAAGTTCTTGGATTCAGTAATCAAATCTAGTGTTTTGATGTGTGTTTTTTTTTTTTGCATTTCTATTCGTTGTTAAATGTCTCCCTTTTCCTGGCAGAGACTTGATTTCATAGGCAGTCACTTTCTCTGACTCCTCAAAGTGAACCTCAGCTTTCAACTCCCGCATCTTTTCATGTGTCTGGTGACGGTTTCCTGTTTGTTCATCTTTACAGGGGGAGCTCTGAGCTTGCTTGAGTCGGGAGCTGCCAGAGAGCTCGGTGGAGGGAAGAAGGAAGGGAAGGAAGTGAGGTCTGGTTATTTTCTCTGCCAGTTCAGAAATCGGACATGTAGGGAGGGCAGGGGGCTTAGCCAGAGGGGCTCTCAGGACAGGGAACTTCATCAGCCCTTGTGGAGGTTTGTATCTGGCTGAAACACCCCTCTTCCCCATCTTTTCCTGGCACGATTTCTGCCATTAAGAACTAGCTGTCAGGAGCCGTTTCCTGACAAGGGCAGCTGGGAGTAAGTATTGTTGTAGGGTCCTCGCTTTGTGGGCACAGATCCCCTACCCAGATGCTCCCCCACTCCACTGGCCAAGCACCCCGTTGTGCCAGAGCTCACAATAAGGCTTGGTGGGGTCATTTATGGTTCTTTTTACTGTCCCTTGTGCAGGCTTACTATTTTTAGCAAAAATATGGGATGGCAGGACTCCTGTTCCCAACTCTGAGTAGCAAATTAACATCCTGACACACAGGATGAGCCTAGGATGTGAGCATAGCTTCTCCCCTATGAATCACTTTACACCAAGTCCATTTTTGTCCCTGGATCAAAAGCTTAACTGGATAGCTGGCAGCCTTCTCTGCATGTTGGCAGGGTCCCATCTCAGATTAACAGCTGGAGAGGATGGGAGTATTGTGCAAAGTTTATGCCCAGTTTCCCAGCCAGTGTTCCCTTAGAGCCAAACCCAAGACAATGTTTTATTTGGAAATATGATTCCAGGAGGCAATGAAGATAGGGGGTGGAAATCAGAGTCGGGAGGGAGGGGTGGCACAAGGCTGTGTTATGGAGGGGGCTACTCCTGCCAAGGTCTGCTTGCTTGTTCTGCAACCATTGGAAAGTTACATGAAATGAAGCTCACAAGTGCCTTCAGGGCAAAGAAAGGAGAAAGTGTCTGATTATAGGCTCTTGTCTCTCACTGGTCAAAGGTTGCTGTGCAGGGGTGTTAACACCCTTACATTTCCTGGTGACACACACACGAGTGCTAAGTAGGTACCTGTGGGTGTCTCAGAGCACGGCATCATAAATCCTGGGCAGTGTCTCAGTGAGAGGAGATACCGTGGACTGTCCCCAGCTTAGAAATGGTCACTGCAGCCATGGAGGAGATAAGAGGAGAAGGGGGGACTATTTGATAAAACAGGCGTGTGCTGTACCCATGCTTGTACATATTCAACTGACAATGTGCTCTGTCTCTGCCTCTCTCTGGGGTGCCCCAACATATTGAGGGCATGAAAGCTAAACTCAGCACACATTTCTACAAGTTTCTCCCTGCCATGCTCCCTTGCAGAGACGGTTTTCTTCATGTCGTTTCATCTCCCAGGAGGTAGAAATGGACTACTGACTAATACTGTGAGTGAACGCAGACCATTTGGATGGCTGAACCACCTCTCTCTTCGTTTGAGGCTCCTTTATGCCTTTTAGGGAGCAAAACGTGATTCAGCTTTTCCCACTGATTCTGATCCTTATTCAGCTCCGGGTGTCATAATCAGAGGAAATTCCTCCTGGATTCACTTGGTGGCCAAGCTTCCAGCTTTTACTATGTATATGTGGGTGTCTGAGAGGACAGTAGCATGAGAGTCAGCCACCATCATAACCTGGAGTGAGGATGGCCTCTGGGCCCCGCCCTGCCCCACCCCAAAGAGGGACGAATTCACCTTCTATCTAGGCACATACAGCTGGGAGGGTCCTCGTCATTCAAAAGGAGACATTCATCTACTTCCTGGCTCAGCTGCCTCCTAAAGCCAGGCTCCAACTTTACCTAACAACTTGGAATAGCAGCAGTGCTGGTAATTGTCTGGGATAAAAGCCTGCAGCTCACGGGCACTCAGGATAGGAGTGTGGTGCTCAGGCTGAATGATACCCAAGATTCTGCAAAGCGACACCTGGCTCAGGGCTGACTTGCAGAGAGAACCACGTAGCTGGGCTCCTTTCCCTTCACAGTAAAGAGCTTCCACCACGTTGTTCCGTGGCATGAGACCATCAGCCTTCAGGCAGGGAAGGTTACATTCTGCTAAGGATGTTGTTGAAGCCATTCTTTATTAAAGGGACTCATGGAAAAAATTATGTGTAGCTTCTGTAGCAGAAACACTTTTATTTATGCTGAGCAACCGGTTTATTTTTCCCTTTGGAGACTGAGTTGACTAATGGACTGTGTTCACCTTCTTGGGTGGATGGGCAATACCAAGTATTCGAACCTCTGGATGCAAATATATGGCAAATCTTTTGGGTCTGATCCCATTCCCAGCATCATCTTGTCTATCTTGCTTCCATTTTCCTAAGTTCACACCTTTTTTTTTTATAATTGGCTTTTTTAGATATGAAAGTAATGTAAAATTTAGAAAATACAGAGCATTATATAGAAGAACCAAAATTGCTCATATTCCCGATGGTGAGACATAATCACTGTTAATGTACGGACATAGTCTTTTATTAATTTATACATTCAGTCTATTTTCTGCATGCTTCTGTATTTCTCTGCATGTTTCTCTATCCATCCATGTACTCTGGATGTCCTTGAGCAACTAGTACAGCTTTCTTCCATTGCCTAATCTGTGGACTGTGAAAAACTGAAATCCTCCTCTGCTAATTTCCATGGGTTATATTTTGTATTTTGAGGGAAAAATCATATACCCCTAAAGTATTTTTGTTACTAGGAGATATGTGAGATTTTCCCTTCTAATTTTATTTTCCCAATGTCGACTCTCACATTTGTGGCAAAAAACTAATTAGAGCAGGCCAAAGAAATGACATTAACATGAGCAAGAACAAAGGGACACAGATTACTAACTGGATGGCCACCAGGTTCCCCACTCAGGACTCAAGCTGGGAAGCACATGGTCTCCCGGCTCTGTGGCTTGCAGGAGGTTTTCAGTGGGTGCTACAGGCAGGTCCCTTAGGTTGAAGAACCCTGCTGGGGTTCCCAAGCCTGAATGAGAACAAAGTGGCCCCTGGGCTCTGGCCCTGTGGCTCATGCCTCCAGCTCATACTTGCATCTGGATACGTACAGAGACCTTGGGAACCAACAAACTCCAAGGAGTTGTTTCCAGCTGTTGCTTCTGCGTACTGAGGAGGTAGAGGGCAGGTGCACCCAACTCGGAGACTGGCAGCCCCAAACCCTACTTTGGGACTTGGTTGGTCTCCTTGTCCCCTTGGATCCTATCCGTCCTTTTCTAAGGGCAGCAGCATTTAAAATAGTGCTTGCTTCACTTCAGCATGTATTACAATCACCTGGATCACTAAGCATGCAGATTCCTGGGCTCTACCCTGGACCTATTGAACCAGACAGTGTGTTTAGAAGTTTCGCAGGTGAACTGATGGAGGTAATCTGTCTGAGATGAGAGGGTTATGGTCTGCATCTGGTGCTATTGGTTTGGTGCCTAATCTCAGCACTTATTGGAACATTGAAAAGTGGGGTGTATGCCAAGAGGTGGAGTGTATTTCCCTGCCCTTGATTCTGAGTATGCTATGCAACCAGCCTGATCCAATGGGAGGTTGCAGACATGAATCAAAACAACTTACATGACTGGGCTTTCTCTCTCATGCTCCTGCTATCACTGTGAGAAGCATATGCTTACACTAGCTTCCTGGCCCCAGGAGGAGAAGAGCTGCAGTAGTCAAGGTGTCCCCGCCAAGCCTGGCCTTGAGTGGGCCCCCTGAGAGGGCGAGCTAAGATTAGCTGAGCTCATCCGAGACCAGTCAAGACCCAGCAGACCGCCACAAAGGACTGTTGTTTCAAGCCACTGAGTTTTAGGGTGGTGTATTATGCAGCAAAAGCTAACTGATACATCCAGGCAGCTTGTTAATGTAATTTCAGACCCTGAAATTGTGATTTTGGAAGGGCTTAACAATTTGTCTGTTTAGTAAGCTTCCTGAGTGATTTTATGTCAGTGTTCTATGGATCACACCTGAGAAAAACTGTTTTAGACCCAACTTTTTTACTAGTGCAACATGCAATCATGGGAACTCCCTTAACATTTATGAACCTCAACTTTCTCTTCTGCAAATAGGGGATAATATATATTTCCTGCATTGATTATATGAACACAAATACCAAGAAACCTATTTGGCAATAGGTTTTCCTTCCTCTTCAGCTTGTCTCCATCTCACTGGTGCCCAACCTCAGGAAGACACAAGGACGAATATCTTAGGAAAACATGAATGTCAGGGTCACAGCTTTATTGTATAGATTTCCAACACAGCCATATTACAAACATTGTCAGGGAACATTTACAAGAATAAATAAGATGGACTTGCAGGTGTAAAAAGATTACACTTCACCATAAGGTACAGTCAAAAAATATATCTGATATTCATTGACCCGACATTATTTACCTTCTGCTTTTCTCAGCCAGAATTGGAAAGGAAACGGGAAAAAAAAGAACATTGACAGCATGGTGCTGGCTTTTTTTTTTTTTCGTAGTTGATTTATTTTGTTTTCTCTTCTCATACGTGCTTTATCTATCAAACACCCAAACTATACAGTGCAGGCCACTGGGACTCATGGAGGGAGCTGAAAACCATGTGGAGACTTTGGTCTCATGCAGTATCATAAGCCCAGTGGATGTGAGAGTGTCAGCCTCCCTGGAGTGGAGTGGGAACCCCAGGGTGGCCCTTAGAGGGCTATGATGGTGTCCTGCTGCCCAGGCAAGGGAGAAGCTTCTATGCTTTGCCTTTCATTGGCTAGTAGGATGTAGGGGGAAAAGAGAAGGTAGAAAAGTGCTTTTGAGTCTGATTGCCAATATGGGTTAGCCTGGATTAACCCGGGGCTAGCCCAGGGTCCACCTGGCAATGAAATGGATGCCCTGAGGCCAATTATAATCACATGCCAACTGGGTCACTGTGCTTTGGCTTCTGCAATCTGCTCCAAGGGCCTTGAGTGGGGCATGGGGGTGGACTTAACCTCTGGAGATAATGTGTACGGTAAGCAAAGCCCTTCTCTGGGTCCTGCACAGACACTTACTGGTTCTGGCTGTCTGTGATGTTCTGTTGGTCAGTGGTCTGAATTATGGCTGGTCTCATCAGAGATCTTGATGGGCACTGGGTCTATGGCAAAGCAGCGGCTCTCTCTGGCTGTTTAGTGATAACCAGTCTGGGTGAGCCCTGGATGTGTGACCAGAACAGCATCTTGGCCTGAATGGTGGGAAGACTCAGGCAGGAGAGCAGGAAGCTTCAACCTGCACAAACCAAGCAGACGCTGGTGCTTGGCAGGAACACAGGAGTTCAAACATGGTCCCAGTTCCATAGGATCTCACCCGTCTAGGGTGGAAGAAACTTCAAGGCCATCTCATCCTCTCTGGCAGAGAGCAAGTGCTTCCTTACAGTTACTAAGTTCCGCTGCCGGGCTTGGTTCCACTCGCGGGAGTGCCTGGGACTAGCAAATTGTGCTTGAATTTGCCTAATAACCTACAGACTGGAGAATATGGGCACTTGCATTCCACCTGACCCTCTGGAAGCCTGATTTGACCTGGATGACACCACTTTTCCCTCTGAGCCTCCAGACCACCCTGGAGGCTTTAACCCAAAGAACATCTCCCATTGGTAATCTTCCATGGGGGAGAGGGGCAGGTGGGCACTAAGAGTTTGTTGGACCATCACGTAGGAGGCCCACTGATTTGCATTCACAAGCCCAAAGGCACTGAAGTATGTGTACAGGGACTTGATTTGTTGTACAGGCAGGTTACTTCACATTCCCCTTCTGTCCCAAATCTCAAAATCCCATCCACCATGAATTTAAGAACTATGAATTACACTGATTACCCTGAACTCCAGGCTTTCATACCAATTCTTCCTGTCCAACACCCTAAGGCCCCCAGACCCTCATTCTCTGAACATTACAACCAAGGATCAGGATTTGAATCCCATCACTTGGAGCAGCTCTCAGATTGAGAAGGAAGCTCTATGGTGATCCAGCCCAACAGCTCTTCCCTACAGGCCTCCTGACATGGTGAGCCTCTCCCTATCCCTTGAATCAGCCCCAGCGGACCACTCCCGAGACAGCTAGGATGCCAGGCCCAGTATCTCCCATTGTAGGCGCTGACTACCCCTTAGGGTAGACTTCAGGGGGTGAATGTGGCCCCTTTGATGATCTTTCTCCATCTCTCTGGAGGTGGGGAGGGGGTTTGCAAGAGCTGGTCTTGGTCAATACAAGAGGTTCATATAGTCAGTGCCATGCACACGTCTGTCTCTGGTCACCAATAAACTGGAAGAGAGCCTCCTGTGCATGAATATGGCTTAGACATCTCCGCTGTGCTTCTGAGGATCATATCCATAACCCTGAAATATGTGCCAGAAGAAATAGGAGTAGAACTGCCCCCTCCACTCAGGGCTACTGACTTCTCTCCCTGATGCTCAGACCATACAGGACCTCAAAGGCAGATAGATCTTGGCTAGGTGAGGCCAAGGCCCTGCATGTTATCACTTCTGGATATGTCGACATGGAACGCTTCCAACATGGAGCTCTTGCATGGGAGTACAGGAATAAGGTTGAATCTCAGGGTGTCTCCTCTAGTTGGATTCACCTTGCCTATTTCTGTGTTTTACTTGGCTATGATTTGGAGCTGGCATCACTGGCTGAGAAGCAGCTTAGACTAGTTAAATGATGGGAAAGGCAAGTCAGGGCCTTGAGAAGCTATGGCCGTCCATGCGACTCATGTCTCATCCACTGACTGGCCCTGCAGCTTGGGTTGACCATTTGTACCCAGGGATCTTGGCCCAACAGGATCCATTGGCCTTACGGTTAGCATTAGCATCCTGCGCCTCTTATCCTTGGGCTGACCCACGTTTTCCATGCTGACCCACGTTTTCCATGACATTACGCCTGACTCAGCATGGTGCTGATTGCCTGTCTGGGCAGCCCAGGAGTGGCCAGATGAGGGCTAAGAGATGGTGGCTTTGTTCTGTTTCAGAGCAGTGACGTGCAGGGGAACTGTCACACTCTGCAGTGCCTCTGGATCTGGGTTGGGCAGTCACTCCTGCAGAGATGACACGATAAGCACCTGACTGCTCTTCTGTTGGCCTCCCTTGTGCCATCTGCTAGACCAACACCTCTATGCACACAACAGGGATTCACGCCAGAGGCCGTGCGAGGACACACAGCAGGAGCTGGCTTAGCCACGAGGGATGGTTGATGGATAAATGTGATTGCTCAGAGGGAAAATTATCATCCTTTCTCCAAGACTCTGAGACTTGTTCCAGGGTCAAAGCAACACCCCGGCTCCAAGTGGTTCCGGCCAGTCCTTCTCCACCTGTCATGCTGTGTCACAGAGGTGACCACTTTGCCCAATAGTCCATAAGCATCTTTGGTTCTGAGTATTCTTGTGCGGTCTCAACCTCTTAGCCTGGCCCCTCTGTCTCCCTGTTCAGAGCTCTCTGATTCTACCCCTTTGAACAGAGGCTCCTTTTTTCACATCTTTTTCCACTAATTGGTTGGCAAGGCTGGATCTTAGCTCTTTCCACCACCACACCTTTCCTCACCACGGGATGAACAGTGCCATAGTAGCCTGTGCATCCTGGCAGTGCCCCCTCCAGGGCCCTGCATACCATAGGTGCCTCATGGGGCAGCAGCATGGCCAGGCACTATGCCCTGCAGACTGGGATAGAGTTTCCTAGGGACCATTGTAGTGAGTTGAGGTGATCAAAGCCATATGAGGGACAGGGCATATGGTTTAGAAAAATATTTATATAGTCATATTAAAGCAAATCAGGCAAATAGAGTGGAATGCAAATATTGTATGAATGGTTGTAAAACATGAAACTGTAAAGGAATTTTAAGCTTACCATGATCTGCTTTGGGCTTTACAAGATCCACGGGGTAATCTCTTTCACTGTAGTCTTTGCTGTTAAGGGGTGCCCCGAGGGAAAATCTGAGACACGGTGGGACAATCCTGTCTCTGAAGTCTGAGGAATCAATTTAAATCCTCGTCCCCTGACTGTGGAACTATGGGGTAAGTGGTGTCTCCCCTCTGAGCCTCAGTTTCCTCATCTGTGACAATCACAAACACCTTTTAGGGATGTTGGAGGAATTCAGTGAACTCACATGTTAGAGTGCCCAGCACAGAGCTGCTGGTACTACCTGCAAGCTGTTGCCTTCTGTTCCCACAAAGGGAGGCCTGCCCTGGTCATCTAGAGGCCCAGAGGCCCCAGACAGATCCAGGATCTCCGTCTGGTGAGCTGGGTGAACCCTAACGATGTTGCAGAACAGTGAGATACACCCGGAAACTACATCCAGGCCATATGCATATGCAACCTGGGATGGTTCCCGGATTCTCATTAACTCCTCACATTGCCTCCAAACAGGGTCCATAACTAGGAGGTGAGAACCATGGAGCTCTGTAGTAAGGAGGGGCTCTCTGGTACCCTGGAGCTGAGAGGCCGCGTTGTGGAGACTCCCAGAGCATTGATACTAGTTTCCTCTGAGAGGTGAGCCCACCCTAAGAGTGCGCTGCGGGGAGAATGCCCCCACGGAGGTGGAGCTTGCTCAGGAGATTTCCCAGGGGAGGGGCCAGTGCAAATTCCTGCGCACAGGTGCCCCATCTCATCCAAGCTCCTGCCACGAGGGATCTTAGGGAGGACAGCCCCATCCACGAGCCTGTTTCTTCTTGTGCAAACTGGCCCAGGACCTGTTCCCTGCCCTGCCTTCTTTGCAGGGTGGCTGGGTTGTGAGGAAATTGGAGGGGGGTGTTGAGTTGGTTACTGTACCATGGCCTGAGTTTTTTTGCTGATTTCCTTCTCCCTAAAGTCACATATTGGAATAACTGCTAGGATTTGTGTCAGTCGCCTCTCCCTCCCAATTCTGTATGGGTGAGCCAGGATCTGAGAAAAGAGCATATATTACAAGCTGCTGGAGGCATGGACTGGAGGCAGGGGAAGCCAGCAGGACCATGGAGGGCCTGGGGACCTGCTCAGGCACACCCAGGAAGGGGCCCATCAGAGGAGAAGAATGGATTCACTGGGGGTCTCCTTTGCCTCCCTTCACTTCCTTATGAACCCCCAAAGTGACAGCCTGCCTTGATCAAGCCTGGTGTCCAGGGACATCCAGACAGCTCCTGAGCCTGTGCCAACGAGAGCAGCTTCTGAGAGCTCCTTTCACACCCATCCTCATAAGTCTGCAGGCCTGGCTCAGTCACTCGGCCCCGTGGTAGAGCAGAGACCATGAGGCAGAGGCTGAGTCTCATGCTCCACTGCACATTTTGTTCCAGCAACAAAACTATGAGCAGACAGACAAATAGATGTGTTATTAAAAAGTATACACTTAAGGGAATGTTTTCACAGTGTCTGATGATAGGAAAAGAGGCGGCCTCACTGGCCCCAGAGTGAACCTTCTCCAACACTGAATCGAGCGCATCACTCAAAAGCTCTGCGGGCTCCTTGATGCCCACAGGGGCGCACCTGCACTCACCTCCCGCCATACCTGCTGTGCTATGCTCCAGCTGGGCCCACCTCCCTCCATACTCTGCCACCCCACCCCAGGCCTTTTCTCACGTCTTTGCCATTGCAAATGCTTAATTCCTTGGCCTGAAATTCCCTTCTTCCTTTTCTACCTGTTGAGACCCAGCTGGAATGGCTGTCACCTCCTCTAGGAAGCCCTAGGCAGTCTCTCTTGATCTTACGCTCAAATAGCATGCAGAGGCTTAAGCCCCACTGCAGTGAGGTTCAACTTCCCCAATTTACAGTGACCTCTTGAGAGCAAAAGCTGTGCCTTATTGAATTCTGTGCTCCTCATGCCTTGTCTGAGGTTCGACCAGCCTCCAAGTTGGAGCGTCCTGGATGGCAGGCCACCCCAAGCCCGCCAGATACTGTGCCTTAGCACAGGCTAGAGGCCAAGGTGGAGACAGTGTCCTCAGCTGTCAGACCTCCCAGCCTGAGGGAACAGGGAACTGTTCTCACTGGCTAAGAAATTAGCTGAGACTAGCTTTCCTGGGGAGCTGGAATGAGTTGCTAAAATATATCTGAAATTCTGGGTCTCCCAGAAGAAATGGCATCTGAAAGAAATTATAGTTCCATGGTGGAGTTTTCTGCTCAGAAGTTCCTGATCTTATTTTCTCTCCATAAAAGAATTGCTTGACTGACAAAAGATGAAGAGAACAGTACAAATAAGTCTCTGTCGTTATCTGCCTTTACGGAACCCAGATTGTCATCACTGAGGGAGATGCCTCAGTTTCCCCCATTGGACAGTGGAGTGATACCAGCTGACGGCTCTCATGTGGGGGTTCTAAGCAAGATGCGGGATGTGCCAAGCCTGGCACACGACAGATGCCGAGCAACAGTTGGGCCCTTGTCATAGACTCACCCAGACTTTGGGTAAGACCCTAGGTCCCCAGGCATGATCTCCTTTGGCTTTATTTTCAACTAAAGTATAACTGGGTACACAGTGACCTTTTCCGAGATGGCAGCTGGGTTTCTTTAGTAAGAAGTTCGAGTATGGAGATGCAAGATTATGCACAAAGCTGGTTCTTTATCTGAACAGAACTTGGAGGGACGGTCTGCAGACCTGCTCACTTTTCCCTTGCTCAATGGCTGTGCTGCCCCACGGGGGGGGACCTTTGAAGAACATTCAGAGCTAGTCTCAGCCAGGAAAGATGATAGGCCTGAGAGATGTGTCTTATAGCTACACATCCCTTCTCTTTCCATTTTGACAAAAAAAGACTAGGATTTTACACCCCCCAAAAGAAAGTTTCTTTTCACATACACTCTGGAAAATCAAATCTCGTTTGTCCCTCCCAAACAAAGCTCCCACCCGAGAGACTGGGGTCAGCAAGGCCCCTGCCCCAGGGGGGTAGCTGCTTTTCACAAGGACAAGGAGGAGCAGCAAAGGGCTCTACTCTCCCTCCCACTGACCACAAACACAAGCAAAGAAAACCTTTATCAAAGAGTGGTTGTGGACACAGTGGGCTGGCCAGAGAATGACAGGCCAGGGACCAGGCTGGGGAAGGGGTGCAGAGTGGCAGTGGGCCAGGCCCCATGCAGGGTAGGTGTGAGGGCGGGGACTTCTGCTGTATTTGGAAGTGTCCCAAGGTCACACTGATCCGGACTGGAAGGGGTGCAGTGCCAAAGGTCCCTGAAGGAGACTGCAGTGGGCAGGAGGGCCCCATCATTTCCAGGACAGCACAGAGGAGCAGAACGTGCATCCCCTACCCTCCCATGGGCAGCGGAGACTGTCACTCCCCACGCCCACACAGTCGGCCTGCCATGAGAGTCACAAACTCGAAAGGAGCGAAAGCAAGAGGTCTGGGAACCAAAAAATCCAGGGCCTTGCCACGGATGCACTTCCATGGCTGTGGCTGCTTCGGTGCAGAAGGGAAGCCTGGGCCTTTCAGAGCAGCATCTCCCACAGCCACAGGAGACCCCTCAGAAAGTGCAGAGCCCACCACGGCCACGGGACCACCAGTCTTCTCCTTGGAGTTGGGCAGGTGCCTCTTTGCCCCTGAGCCCAGTCACTGCCATTCACAGAAAAGGGGGCTTGGCTGCAGCAGCCTGTGGATTCCAGCAGGTTCCCCATCCCGCTGGGCTAAAAGGAGCTTAAATATTCCAGTGCCACCTCGTATACAAATTTATACTGTTCCTGAGAGGAGGAGAGGCAGAGAAGGAGAAGAGGAGACAAGAGAGAGATGAAAAGGAAAAATGCATTTAGTTTAGAGAGACACATTTTGGAGAACACTTTTTTCACATCTGTAGTTAGCGGTCCACTCAAAATTCCCCATGTAACTCCTCCTATCTGGACATCCATCAGAGTTCTGCCTGGCGTCTGCTTGAAGCTTTCCTGGATGCCCAACGGGTCATTCCTTTCTTTTTACTTTTTTGTGTACCAGTGCTTCTCAAATGCACATACACAGCATCCAGGAATCTTTTAAAAATGCAGTTCTGATTCAGTAAATCTGGAGAGGGGCTGCGCATTCTGCATTTCCGACAAGCTCCCAGGTGATGCTGATATTTCTGGTCTGAGGGCCAGAATTTGAGCAGGACCACACTTTGAGTAGCTTTAAAAACTCTTCGACTTTCTTGCATGATCCACATCCCTCATCACACTGGGCCCCATCGTCTGGGGCTCTGCCTGCCCACTCTCCTTCCCTCCCTTTATCTACAGCATCCTAGCCCAATGCTTTATACTCTACAATTAGCATGAATTAATTAGAATAGGATCGGACTGAACTGAAAACAATTCACACTCTACTAATCCAGAACCCCTTTCCCTAAGCCTGAATTAGTGATACTTTTTTAAAGAATGGGCAGAAAGTAAAACAAAGTAGAGTGTATCAGGATTAACACATGGACAGCCCTGTGAGAAAAGGAGGGTGGAGAGGTGGGAAGGGGAGCAGAGCAGGTAACAGTGTGTGCAAGTTCACAGACTAAGTCTTCAAGGAGCACCCAGCTGTTGAGGGTTTTTAATATCTGGTGCTATTTGCTTTAGGCTAGGGAGACTAGGGTCAGTCCCTGGCTGCTGAAGAACAGTTACTGGGATGCTCACCAGGGTCTCCACCATGTTGGACTTGTTGTTACGCAGCGTTTTCACGATATGGAACACGTCAATGATGTTTTGCTGCTGAATCATCTCACACACACTGCAGATGGCACAGAAGGTTCCACTGCGGCCTCCCCCGTTTCTAAACACAGAGTAAAAGGCTGAGCCAGGTTTCTGGGTACCTCCAGGCATCTGTTCATCCTAAAGTCACATCAGCTGTAGTGGGGAGGGTTTGCCCTGGCAAATGCAAAGTAAGGCTCTGGCGAAACCTAGCCTGAACCACAAGTTATGATTTGAGTCCCATCGGTGCCATGAACTGCTTTGACCTGAGTGTGGGGAAAATGGAAGTTCCTACAGCCAGGATCCTCACCAAATTACTTGATGATGTAATTGGCCTACTGCCAGGTTAATGCTTCCACACCCTAGGCAATGGGCTATTATTGACTGAGTGACTATATAAAGAGCTCTGGCCAGTACTCTGGGCAGAGGCAGAGACAGAGGAGGATTATGGACCTGCAGACTGTTGGATGCAGATGTGACTCTAGTGTTCGACCTATGGCCATGAGAATAAAGCCGGGTATAAACCCTTTTACCTCAAGAACATTCTACTGTCATTTCTCAGTCTCACTGAATCCCTACTGAACTTCCCAGGCCTGAAATCCTCAGCTAAGACACTTGGACAAGTCACTTCCTGTGTCTGAGTCCCAAGTTTCCTATTTATATAATGGGGCAGGAGGTTGGACTAGATGACCTTCGAGTTCAATTAGCTTGATGTTTTCCTGGGTTCTACGAGCATGTTATAATCACCCATGGCATCCTGACCCAAAGCCCAGGGCAGGCAAGCAGTGTGTCTTTGTATATGAGGTGCCCACATCCTTGTCCAAAGGATTGTTCTGGGTCCATCTACATAGCCAGTGAAGACAACAGAAGGTTCTGGGTGATTTTCATCTTAATCTTCCCATCCACTAAAGCCAGCCATGCTAGAGACATCTCTGTTGGCCTGGAGTCAGCCAGTCTAGGTTTAGGGCAGGGTGGGTATGGGGTGGATCTGAGATGCTGTACCCTGACATGATAGATGTCTATGTGTACATACTGGCATTAGCATGACCCTGTTGATCCAGAGAGCAGAGACAGAGGGCTTCGGCAGGGTCATCTCGCTGTCACTCGTCTTTCTGATGCTCCATAATTCACCTTCAGGGAAACACCCTCCAACTCTTCTAGCAAGTTCCTTTAGCAAATCTGCCCAATTCGGAACTCCTGGGCATGTTGCCAAAAGCAACTAATGATTTCATGTAATGGCCTGTGTCTAAAGAACATCTGGATAGAAACTAAAGCCCTCAGTCAATTTCCCAGATGTTTTATCTACAGGACACCCAAAGACCAATGTTTCAAGTGTGGACAGTTGCTCTTTAGTCACTGGCCGGTGCCTGCATTCCAGTGCCTGTTTTATCTCTGCCCCAAGCATGCCAAGGCCCCTGTGGATAGGACAGCCATGTGCTTTTCTTTGGTTCAAACTGCTGGTCACCTTGCCTAGGGGAGACATGGATAAAAAGGCAGTCCTGCAGAAAAAGCATGCTAAAGACAACCATGTGGGAAAGAGTAGGAGGGGAATCCCCAGAAGGAGGGGTCAGTATTTTCTGAAGGGAAAACAGCAGAGTCCTAGAGGAAGAGGTGAGTGGACACAGGCATCTTGGGCCCAGTGGAGTTAGACCCTGATGGGATGGGGGTGGCTCTGTGCTCAAGGTGGGGCCACCTGAGTAGGTGGGAGGGAACTGAAGGGAGCAAGGCTTAGCTGGCAGGGCACCAGCTGCCAACCCAGATTCAGGGATGTGGGCAGAACCAGCTTTGCTTGGCTGATGCCACCTGTCACCCACCCATGTCACAGGTGACACCTCACAGCATCTTTCTGGACTCCAGTCTGCAATTTGCATCCTTTGGGAGGGTGTGATTGCTGCAGGTGGTGGCACTTCTGTGTGTGTGTGTGTGTGTGTGTGTGTGTGCACGTGCATGCACGTGTAACTTCCCTTTAAGCTCTCTGATTTTCCTTACATGCGCATGCACCATCTTTTTTAAAGAGGGTAATAGGTAGCTGGTTTCAAAAGACTGCACTCAGTGTTGGGGTCAATAAGATGTTACTAATGCCTCCACTGGTTCCAGAAATACTTAACCTGAAATGGAAAGCCTTTGGTTCAATCTTCCTTTAACACAACATTCTAAAAGAGGAGGACTGCTCTATCACTTCTTCCCAAATCATTTTATGCTCTAAGAAGCAAAGTGAGTTATTGTGAATCAATGTTCCACACACCGCTGTTATGGCTACAGCTGTTTTTGATGTGAAATCACAGTTTTGTGGAACCCCTCTCTGAGGTCACTTTATAGTCTCCTAGTAGACTTTGACACATGCTCTTTGAAGTAATTATACTTACAACATTTGCGTATTTGCTACCATGATATTGTGAGTCTCTATGTTGCAAGATAGGCTGTGTTCATTTTCTAAATATTTCACAAAATAAAGTGTTTTCCTTGATGACAGCTTGTCGCCACAGTCCTCCAATGGGTCCTGACCTCTACCCTGCACGATGACATCAGGGTGTATTTGACTGGGAATGCCTGTGCCCCAGCTATGCCCATTCTAAGGCAGGTAAAGCTTCCAGTTCATGACAGTAATGGAGTATAAGTACAGCCAGCATGAGCCCACTGTGCCCTGGGAAACAGCATTCCCAGGGCCCTCGGCACCCACCCATCATCCTCTTGGGCAGTGCCTCCCCCTCAGCTTCCCGTGTCCCCGTGCCTCCACCATGCCCAGTTAGCGATGTCCCAGCAGGCAGACCTGGTGGAGGAGGGCTTTGGTCTACCAGAGGCAGTGTGGTGGAATGGGCAGCACACGAGCCTGGAGGCCAGTGAATTCAAACCCAAGCTCCTTTCTTAACTGCCTGATCCCTTACTGGGCCTGCGCCTGTTTCCTCACTGCACCATGACCATGGCTACCTCACAGACGGAATGAGGACATTTACTTAAAATGCCTGGCATGAAGCTCCCTTAATCAATGCATCCCCCTTCCTTTTTCTTCCTTCAGGCAACAATAGCGGAGGATCTAGTCAGTGGAACCCACTTCATCCCGAGTTTTCTGGTGATTGGCAGGACATCTGCCTCCGGTTGAGAGTGGGGCTCATCTCCCTGTTGGGAGTCCTGGACAGTGGTCTTCCTGCCCCACTGTGTTTATGGAAAGGCGGCCAGGTTCTGCTTCAGTAATATGTTATATAACGTTAGTTCAGGGCAGCAAACTGGCAACCACGAAAGGATCGTAATTCCTTGAATCCACTCCATTGGCCTTTAAGGGTCACTGAGATGGAGAAAGCCTGCATGTGTAGGGCTGGGGTGTGTGGCCAGTGGTGTCCTCAGGACGTCCTGCCACCTGCCGCCCATCGCCGCATAGACCCTGTAGACTCATGGGCAGTGCCCCACGCTGTGCCCTGGCCACCCGTGGCCCCAGAGACCCTGCAGACTCACGGGCAGTGCCCCACGCTGCGCCCTGCCCGCCCGTGGCCCCAGAGACCCTGCAGACTCATGGGCACTGCCCCACGCTGTGCCCCTCCCGTCTGTGGCCCCAGAGACCCTGTAGACTCACAGGCAGTGCACCACGCTGCGTCCCTCCCGCCCGTCGTACTGCTCCTGCCACTTCTCCCGCCGGCGGACCACTTTGAGCAAAGAGCGCTTGTTGGGTGGTGTGTCCTGGTAGGCGGGCCAGCCGATGTACTGGAGGTGCTGGACTATGCGATACCCATCCTGTGGCTGAGAATGGAGAGGCTGTTAGGACCGTTCTGGGGATGCTCTGGGATATAAGCCCTCCAGGTCCCCTGGCGGCTGCAGCACCATAGTGGAAAACAAACTAAACGGGCCCTATGCCATGTTGTCACCGGGAGAGTCACAGACTAGCCCTGTGCTCATTCCTGTATGCATACACCTTTGCGCACATTGATTCTCTTGCCATGATGGCCCTGCACCCTCCCTTTACCCAAAAAACTCCTACTCAGTGTTCAAAACCCAGTTTAAATGTCCTCTTCTTCAGGAAAAGCCTTCCCTGACTCTACTGGGCAGAATTAATCTCTCTCCCTGAGACTCATGTGCCAGAACATATTTTACCTTCCCACAAGATAGTGAACTCTGAGGGCAGAGACTGATTCAGTTCACCCTGGGTAAAATCAAAGTCGCTTTACTTAGCCAGCATGTCATAGATTACTAATCTGCTCTCTCCCACCCAATGCTCCTCCATCCAGCCAGTGAATTTCCTCAGGAAAGCAACTGATTATTTTGTGTCTTGGTGTTCCCAGGGTCTAGCCTGAAGCTTACTGGATCCAATCAAAGGCTGTGTCAACTCATGCCCAAACGGCACAACACTGGGGAAGCGCTCATTTCTGAGCAGTTTTGTCTGCATGGCAGCAAGCGGGCAGATGGAAGGCTGGATGTCACAGTGTGCATCTCTGAGCATTGGCAGCATCGCTCGGTCTGGCTGGAACCTGCAGAAGTATCTCCTGCCCAAGGATGAGATTATCAGGAGCGCAGCGCTGACCCTTGGCTGGCGTGGTAGGATCCTCTCCCAGCAGCCTCCATCTGCGCTGGGGAGGAGGGAAGCCATGGTGGCTGACACTTACCCGTGCCATGTTGCAGATGCGGAATATTCTGTGGATGATGTCCTCATCGATGTCTGCAGAGACAAACTCCACCTGGATGGGCCCGTAGCACCCGGAGGTCTTCTCGGGCCAGTACTGCATACAGAGCTGGGCAAGGAGAGAGGGCACAGAGAGGGGCCAAGGATGGGGGTGGGGGCGCTGGCCTCATTTATCCCTGAGACTTCCTGTTGCCTGCAGGACACACTGGCTAGAAAGGCAGGGTTATGTAGGAGATCAAAGGCCCTTGGAGCAGCCACCATTTTTTTGGTCCTTGAAAAGTCAAAGCTCTGAACACAGAAACACTCACCTTAAACATCTTTGCTCTGCTGATTTCAAACCATTTGTTAGGCTTGCTGGGCCTCGGTTTCCTCAGTGTAAACTGGAGAGAATAATACCTACCTTGAAACACTACTGTTAGGATTAGATGGGACACGGAGAGGAGGGTAAGTACAACTTCTAGTTCAACATAATCACTGCAGACCTTCCCACATTCCAGGAAAGCCTTCAGTGTTCATTTCGTCACTGGGTCATGAAGCATTTTAAAGAATATAATAGGTTTTGGCATCAAACAGGTTTGGATCCAAATCCAGGTGCTGCTCTTTACTAGCTGTGTAACCCAGGCCTCAATTTTCTCATATTGAAATGGGTGTAATTATGCTTCCCTTGCACCAAAAGATAACGTAAGGAGGTGTGAAGAGATCTTGCCTGTGATCTCTCCTATTTTTCTGGAATCAGGGATTGGAACCTATAGCTGAGAGCAAAAGGCAGCAGTTGCTCCTCAACCGAAGCCTGAGCTGGAGGTGTTTTTGTCACTTGGGACATTTGGTGATGTCTGGAGAGGTTTTTGATGGTCACACACGGAGGTGATGTGGGCATCTAGTGAGCAGAGGCCAGCATGCTGCTATTCATCCTACGGTGCCTACGATAGCTTCCCTGGGGGTTTTCTGGCCCAAAATATCAGTAAGTGTGAAGGTTGAGAAACTAGTCTTAGATCATGAATTGTTCCTTAAACTTATAGTGTCATCAAAGAGACACAGACATTTATTCCCCTGTATCGGTTGTGCCACTTGATGTCTTTAGTTGGGGAAAGAATATTGAGGTAGGTAGGTGGCAGGGGTTGTGGCTCCGAGAGGGGCAAAGCATGCTTCCTCAACTTCATGATCCCCATGAGGTAGGGAGATGACCCTGTCACACAAGGGAGAGCTAAGGTTGGGGCTGTAGGCTTGTTGGGGACCACCCAGCATGGACAAAGAGGCCATGTGTTAGGAAGGCTCTCCATCTGGGGTCGTCCAAAGAGCCTCTTTGTGAGACTCATAAAGACCCACCAAGCGGCTTGGGACTGAGCATCTGCACAATACGGTCTGCCTCAGTCTACAGCAAGCTTGCGGACAAGCAGCTAGACTGACGGAGGCGACCCATGGAAATCTGGGCACCTCTCATGGCCACCATGGACGAGAGATTTCCATGAAAATGGTCATGTTGAGAGAGAACTGGGCTGTCACATGCCAAAAAGTCCTTTATGCTCTTCTTCCACCAGAACCAGAATGGAAGATCTGGGAGGAGGGAGGGTGTAGGAGAGCAGAGGCCTATGTCTGCCACCTTCCTAGCTAGGGAACCCAAGTTCCAGAGGATAATCTTGCTCACACTACGGCCCATAGGCCAAACCCAGCCAGCAGCCTGATTCTGCAAATAAAGTCTTATTGGAATACAGCTACAGTTATTTGTTTCTGTATTGCCTACGGTTGCTGTCCAGCTACAATGGCAGATCTGAGTAGCTGTGACAGAGACCACATGGCCTGCAAAACCTAAAATATTTCTATCTGGTCCTTTACAGAGCAAGTTTGCCAACGCCTATCCTATAGAGTTGTTCTAAGGATAAAAGATAATGCCTGTGAAGAAAACCCTAAACATAATGCCAGGCATGGAATACACAACCACTAAATCCCAACGATCTGTATTAGTATAGAACCTATCAGTGCTCAACAAAAATAACAATAAAGACAACAGAGAACATATAAATGTGGAGGGTTCTCCTTATCACCCCTAGTAAGCAGCAAAGACAAGCGAGAAAGGTTAAATTTCAAATGCAATGGTGCTCTGCCTTCCTGGCATCTCCACGGGGGGTTAATTAGGCATATGAGAAAGGAGGGGTGTTGGGGGGGACTGGTCACAGGGGCCTCCGTGGCTGGACAATCGTCTGCTGAGCTGTGCAATAATGACAAATTCACAGTTTGAACTTCATCTCTCTTTGCCATTGGCTCTCCTGCTTTGCAACCTTCACAGTAATGAAGGTCTGGTACAGATAAGTCTGCGGCTGGCCAGAGAAATCAGAATTAATCAGAACTTCCCATTAAAAAAAAGAATAGCCTTTATCACCTGCATGGAATTTGGCCTTGCCAGAGGTTGGCGGTGATCCTGGCATGATCGCATAGGTCCGAAGCATCAGGGAAAGTCTATTACCCCCAATATTTTCAGTCTGGAGAGAATGCACAATGATTTGTCTCTTTTAATAAGACTTCCAGACCAATTTCTCAAGCTAATAGGTTCTACTATGCCTGAAACAAGACTCCAATGTTTCGGGACACTTCTCTGCATTTGATTTTCCAGGTCACTCTCCCATCATGCCCAGAGTGCTGGGGGAGGTTGCTGAGTCCTTCTCATCCTAAATCAGTTATCCTTTCACTTGAATTCCCTAATTTGAGAGACCACATCGGCAACAGCACGGATGCCATTCAGCTGGTGATGCGAGGACAGATGCGGTGGCTGACCTGCTAAAGATCATGTGGGTCTCCCTGCAGCCTGTGCCTTCGCACGTAATCCGGCAAGGGAAAGGGGAGAAAGAAGGGGAGAAGCAAGGGTTTTGTTCCCAGGGATCCTTTGGAGCTTGGAGGTGATTCTCATCAATAAGAAATGTCATCTGGGGTTTACCTCAAGGTGTCCTGGTGTCCAAATGCTGGCATTGTGCCTTGGTACGCCCCATCTTTTTGGCTTGTGTGTGCACTATTGCAACAGGTAGTGGGGCTTCTGCTTGAAGTGCCCTGGGTTCAAATCTCAGCCCTGTCACTGTTTAGCCGTGATTTGGCCAAATCTTTTAGTTCTCTGGGTTAAAGTTATGAGTGTCTATGAATCTTAATGTGTCCACTTAGCACAGAGATCTGTAACTAGCCTGTACTCAGTAAATATGAGTGATAGCTATTAGTGTATGGATGCGAGATGAAAAAAGTGAAGGGTTTGGCTTTTTTTTCTCTATTTAGTAGCCTTTATGAAAATTTCTCTTTAGGGTAACACCCATAGGCCTGCCCCTGTGAAAATTCCAGATGAGCCAGCTTGGGGTAGCGGTGGGGGTGGGTGGCATCCATATGGGGGCACTGTCTGCATGTCAAAGGAGAGAGACCGAGGGTGGTTCCTGAGAGGACCCCAGGAGGTTTGGAGGAGTAAGGCCGGGAGCGCATGGGAACAGTGGAAGGGACAAAGAGGAGTCCCTGTGTCATGTCACCCCTCCAACCTCCTTAATACTCAGCAAATTCATAAAACATGCATAATGCTCAGTGCACTTGGATTTCTTATGGAAACCAGCAAGGAGCGGAGCTTTGTTCCCTGAGTGACCCAGAACAGGAACAGACACCACACAGGTGAACCGAGGAGCCAGATGGTACGCACAGAAGCACCCGTACTTTATAGAAATCCTGGGGATTTCTTTTGGTTTCTTAAGGGCCTGGAAATGGGGGGTTCAAGCAGGCCCACTTGGTTCTGAGACCGGGAGAAGCCAACTGACCTGGGGTTGCACGTACACTCAAATCCACTTTGGCATTTTCTTTCTTAGGTGGAAACCTTGTGAAGTGGCTGTCTCCAAGGATTCCATCCTTTAGCCTGGAGTCTGGGCCAATGGCCCTTCCCGCCTCACTTCCTGGTTCTCCCCTCCTTCTCACCCAAGGGTCTAGGGCGGGGTGCTGACATCTGCCTGAAGGGAGGGCTTCACCACTGCCATAAAACAGACAGCGCTGAGGGCCACCCCCGACAGAGGAAGAGGTCAGTTGCTGCGCCCATTTAGAAATGGCTAGGCTTCTTCCAGAAAAGCCAAGGCTTTTCTTTTTATTGTCAAAACAGGCTAAACCAAGCGTGTTTGCACAGCCCTGAACAGCTGCCATACATTATTCCACCTAGTGATCTCTGAAGCTGTTTGGGCCACAAAACGATGTCCTTTGGGGATGCACGTTCACACATGAAATGCTACAAATGTGGAGGGAGCCTCACAGTTGAACTTCACTTTCTTGCTGATGGAATCAGAAAGCTTGTTAGATGCTGGAATAAACATGCTCTGATGAGTTGAATGAATACTAGCATATGGGCATATTTTTGGAATAAAGAACTTTAAAGTGTATTGCAGTGCACCTTAATTATGCCTTTTGTTAACTGAAAGACAGTTTGATAAAATGGAAAGGCCGAGTAGTATCATAGCTTCAGAAATTAAGGACTCTACTCATCAAGGTCCCTGTGATCCACGGGTGGGGGATCAATCCTGAGCCACTTAAAAGTGAAACTGAATTAGGATTTTTTGAGAAAAATATGAAAGAGTCACCTGAATTGGTTTTAAAATTCAGATCAGTGATTTTAATACTCCTTTAAATAGATTCTATAAGAGCCCAAAACACATAACTGGTTTTAAGGCTGTGTCCAGTTAAGGAAGGTCGGATGAGGGCTGGTGTGAAGCAAGGGACAGAAGGAAGGGAGGGAGCATGGCTGGTGGCTGGTGTGGATGAAGTGAAGGTTCCTGTGGCCAGGATTCTCACCTGGCCCTGGTTGGCTGGCTCACTACACACATGTGGGCAATATGTTGTTATTGACTCTACATAAAGAGCTCCGCCCAGCACTCTGGGTGACATAATGGCACAGCTGCAAGGCTGCAGGAGAGCAGAGATGAGACTGGAGTGGTGGCAGCACCGAGGATTGAGACGGAGACAGCAGTGTGGGCAGAGGGGCCCAGAGGCAGAGACCGGCTTGCTGCATGCAGACTCGCTCTGAGTGGATGGGATTCTAGGGATTGACCTGTCACCGTGGGAATAAAGTTGGGTAAAACTCTTTCACCCAGGAACGTTCTACTGTCATTT